AAAATTCAGGCATATTAACCGGAACCCATTTCTCCATAGGCCGGCTGCCTGGTCCTTTACTGGATCGAAACGTCGCAAACTATCGATGGATAAAATACTATACGTGACGTCCGTGACGTATAGTATGAATGAAACAAAGTTATTTTAAATTGCGATGGTGTCACGTTTGACGCTTTTAAAATCCTTGCAATTATTTGCAGAAATAATAATGGTGTTTACCATTGTTTATCTTAGTATTTGTAAAGTTGTTATTTAGCAAACGTATGTATGTAAAAAAGATAGGTACAAAAATGCCCTGCCTAATGGTGTAAAAATAGGTGCTGCTAAAATATCAAGTCTGCTGAAAGCAGTTAAAATAGATTAATCTACTTTGTATACATTTTATACGTTTTCTGTTTTGTTACAAGTCATTTTATTAAGAGATTTACTATTAGAAATGTTTCGGGAAATATTGCAACATCTCTGCCCACAATGCGTTGGAGTTGGAAACACTGCACTAGGTACGAAAATGAATTGGTGGGGACCCTTGATGTGTCGCAATATATCTCGGAACTATTCTAATTAATAAAACTTGTTGCTATTAGTGAGTTTTAGATAAAAACTATTTTTAAATATGAGAGGGATAAACTACACAGCCTGACAACAGCGCGCCAGGAAACGCATGTCGGTTCATTTACGAAATAGCCACGCGCTACGTTTCTTTGCAATGCATGACCGGGTTTTAATTGTAAATAGAGGAGCTTTGACAAATAGCTATATTATGCTCTGACGTTTATTATTAACCTGTCAGATCTACATGTTTGTCTTATCTCCGAGCAATTACTACTAGAAGGAATCTTCCCCCTTCCCTGCGCTAATTTTTGTCCCCTGAGAGGAAAAGTACCTCTTCTGTAATTGGCTTATTTAATTAGCGTTGCCAAGTTTGACAGCGAGGGTTCTGACACTTTCTGACACATGTCAATTATTGATTTGTATTTTACAAAAATATAATTATTTATAGCCTTGTAAGGGTTTTAAATGTATATTTAAGATTTATTATCTGTAATAATATGGTAAAGACATGCTTTATGTGTAAAAGACCTGTTGAAAATGCTTCTTCAAGATTATATCATAAGTAAGTACAGACACAACCTAATTATTAGAGGCGGTGCATTAGGCAATCACCTTTAATTTGTAGTTAAACTTTGTTATCGAAGAAGTAAAATTAAGAGCATGTAAGCTAAGTTCATTTTCATCCGTCTCATAATGATTATAGTAAAGGTTAATTACTTATTATTATTATTATTATTATTATATTATTATTATTGTAAAATTTATTGTTATTTTTTAGGTTTCCTTTTCTTGATATGATAAAAAGAAATACATGGTTCTAAAAATTTAGGAATTCAACAAGTGACCACCTGAATAACTTTTTATGCTAATGAATATTTTTATTAGACCTCTGGGAAGGAAAATATTAAAGAAAAATGCAATTTCAATAAATTTCGACGAGAGAAGTAATAATCAATCCTGTCACTACTTCCACACCATATTCATCTGCTACTAAAATACTAAAACAGCAAGCGAAGCAGAGAAACTTAAGTTTCTTTCAAAAAGAATGTTTAAAGAAAAAGGCAAAGTCATTTTTTTGTTGGCACTATTTTTTTAACTAATTTAATAGATTAATTTTTTGTATTGTTTAAATTTTCATATTTTGTACTTAATTTATTTTAGGTTTAAACAAAATGAACCTCAAAGATGCATGGAATATCCCAAAAGAGCTAAGGAAGGTTTTAAAGTTCTTAAGAAAACAATTCAGAGCCAAAAAACATAAAATAGTTAGTCTCCGTGCCCAAAATATAAAGATGTAGGTATGAATATTTGGATATTATGAGTGATTTTTTATTCTATAAATAGAACGTAATTTTCTTCTAAATGACTATCTAATGTAGTAACAAACTAAACAGGAATATCACATTATTCTTGTTTTTTTTTTAATTTACTAAAAAATGTCCCAAAAAACATTGATTACTTATTTATTATTGGAGTTTTATCGCTATGCTAAAAAAATACTAGAACAACTTAAATAATGTGGATTTTGACTATTTTGAGTTATCCAGATCATTATAATCTTAAAAATGTCTGTCTGGCACTATAGTCAGGTATAGAAACATTCATTTATTTCAGCACAGTTGCAATATACATTTTTAGTTTTTAAGTTAATACCTAGTAGGACATTCAAAAATGACTTTTTCCGTTTGATGTGAGATTCATTATTCTACATTTTTGTTGGTGAAATAGGATATTTTTCTAATTATCTAAAAAGTTTAGAACAATACAAAGACTGTTTTAACAAAAAAGAGATATTCCTTTAATTAAACACACAATTAGTCAATTCAACTATTAAAGAAGAAATTCAAAAAACTTCTAAAAATGTGTTTAAATGTGTTTTTACCATAACAAGGACATAATTATTAAAAAAAAGTCAGCACATTAACATTGACGACGGTTTTTAAAATATATATTATATAAATCACAACGAACTACACAAAATGACATTATTAATAATTTAATAATAAAAAAGTTAAGTACAATGATGACATTAAAAGTTGATTTTCTCGAAATTACTTTTTTTAAATTAATAATAATAATAATAATCTCCCTAATTCACCCCCTTACGAGTGAATTTTAACCCCAAAAGCTGAGCTTGTGCGGGGAAAGGGACGGCTATTATTATTATTTGCCGTGGCGCTTCGGGGCGACTTAAAGATGATTGACTAACAGGTGAGGAAAACCCGGAAAACCTCACCCACCATCATCGAGACGGTAATGTATGGCGATTTTTTATAATCTGCATGTCATATCAACAGAAATTGAATTTCTATTAATACGGCACACATCAAATCCTATACCGAACCATGTAATTTAATTAAAAGTCCACATGGTCTGGTCTGGGATTCGAAGCCCAGCAGTCTGTGATACATAAACTTGCTTATAAATAAATATAAGCGCGTTAGACCACTACACCACCGGCCCGATAGGAATTGTAGGTAGGTACTGAACCTACTATTTTTCTAGCACAGTGATATTATATGAAAGTGCATTGTGTGATATCTAATATTTTAGGAATAAAATGATATATTTTTTTGCAGATTTCTGTTAACAACGATTCCAAGAACTATTGAAAATATTATTAAAACGGCCTTTGCAAATATAATTCTCAATTACGAGCCTTTGATCTAACATTAAATTTTTATTCTCCAAAAGGTTACAGCAACCTAAGAAGAAAGTTTAACAATACTTACCAGACCCAAAATATCAAAATTTTACCAACCAATTGATGGTTCTACTGGTTTCCATAGGAAAATTCTCCTCGAAACTACTAAAAGAAAAGTGGCAGAGACAACCGAAGAAGGCAAAAAAGTCTTTTACAAAACAAAAACAAGAAATTTGTTTAAGAATCTAATTATTTTTTGAAATTTTACCATTAATAATTTTTGATAACGTTTTAAGATTATATTTAAATTTTTATTAGGACCAAAATAAATTATAATTTTCATTTCAACTACAAAAACCCTCATAATATTAAAAAGGAGAAAACGTCAGATTAGTTATGTTCAGGAATAAACTCTTTAAACATTTATCTACTTAAAATGTGTTACTTTTAGAAGGTATGTTATTAACTTTCTATTTGTACTTGTATTAATTTATTTCATTTATTAACTGTATTTTCAAATTGATTTTGATAATAATCTTATCTATTTATATATTTTTATATTCACATATGTTTTTTTTATTGAAGCAAACGTTTATTAGCTTATTAAATATAATGATATAATGAATTAATGTTGTTTTATTATATACTTGTATGAATGATTACTTTTAATTCCTTTTAAACATGAATTTCGAAGATAAAGCCGAAAAGGGGAGTGAGAACAAAAAATTAGACGAAAGTGACGATATTTACTGGAGCTTTCATCTGCATGCTCCTTTTTCTAGCCATATATACCTGAGCTAGCAAGATTGTATTCCTTCCATCCTTACATTCTCCATATTTACAGAGAAAACGCTGTCCTCTTTAACTACTTTACATTATCAGCTTTATTTGTTATCCCGAACAATTTAAATGCATTCGTAATTGCTCATTCTCACCTCTTTTCTTGTAGATTCCGTACTCATTTTTCTTATTTTTAGTTACGTTTGCACTTCTCTTTTATTTTCACAGCTTTAATTCTACAATATGGATCCATTTTTGTGGTTTATACTTTTTAATTTTATTCGTAAGTGACCAACCTATTATAATAATTAAAGATTATTGTATAACAGACTTAAAGATGTTCCTGTAAGGCCGAAACTAGTCGCTCCTGTATTTATTTATAATAAAATTGATTTTAAGGTTTTATTCTTCAATTGAAAAAATAGACCTTTACAGTGATTTTGTTTCATTTCCTGCATCAGACACATATAAGATGGTATTCATTTTAAAAATGGTAAAATCAGCAATTTTTTTAGTTTTTTTTTTACAATTAAAACGTTTGGACAATGTGTTTTTATAGATAAATGATACGCCACTGAACAAGAAGGATGTTTACCTTCCCCCTTGTGCCCGCTTCCTCACTTCCTCTACAGATGTTGCTAACACAACAATCGCCTACAAACTCGTTTTCAGGCTCCCTCTATTAGTAATTGCTCGGAGTGTCTTATCTCATCATTTTAAAGAAATATTTACAAATATACGAGTATTAAGGTTGATTTATAAACTCGCAATTCCATCGCCGGTACCATTTGTTTGACGTTTCAGTCGCCGTTGAACTTAAAACTTTATGTTTGAATGTGCAACATCGAACGTTAATAGAGAATATAAGTGCGCAAATGTGAAAGTAGCTTTTTAACTTCCAACGGGAACTGCATCTGCAAGCGGAACTGCAACTGCAAGTTTATAAATCGGCCTTTATAATGGTAAAGTCTCCATTTCTCATTTTGGTAGAACTAAAACGTTTGAAAGCAAACTTTTATTTCAGATGCAGAGTTGGTTTATTCCATATACGAATCAGTTAAAAGTTTAATAGATCGAGTAAAGCAAGCCCAAACAAATGTGAAAAATCTTATGGCTGATATACATGAATGGTCCGTCCTTCCCCTATACGCAAGGAAAGAAGGCAAAAGTGATAATTTACTATATTTGGAAGATAAGACAGAAAGAGTTAATAAACGATACGAAGGCATAAAAGCTTCATCAAGACTGTTGGACGAAGTTATTTCAGAAAATTATTTATTATTCTTTAGAATAGTAGTGGAAGAATCTCCTCCAGAACCTGAGCCAGAACCGGAACCAGCCGAATCGGAAGGTACCCAAATATATAATATATATTTTTTATTTTTAAATTAATTTGTTACGTAGGGGTAATTTACATTCTTTTTGGATCAATAATCGATAACTTTTAACTTTAAACTGATCTTTGACTACATGTGTTTACGTTGTCACAGATATCTCAGGAAATCTAACAGACAACTTAGGAGAATATCTACATGCGTCACGCATGTTTATTTAGATGTTGATATAACAGTGGATGATTGAAAAACTGACATTATTTTGTCACGGCTTAAGTTTCCAATCTAATATTCAAATTACCAATTAACAATGTCCTATTTGGTAAGAGCGTGTATAAAACGCTAATATGGAGATGATGATCATATTTAAGTGATCAGCCATTCTTTTTATGAACATTCGAGGAATGTACATTCCAGCAAGGGCGGTCAAGGGAAGGAGGGGGACAGGGGACCATGACCCCTTTCGAAATGCAAATTTTTACTCAATTGATGAGTTTTTATTTAGGGTGATCATCATATGTACAGCAATTCGTGGTGGGTCTCAGGGGACCATGCTCCCCTCCCGACGTTAAAATTAAAAATGCTATATGCAAAATGCTACTATTAATTACTAGCCGGAGAGCCAGTAACACACATTTCATTAAGTGTTTGATGCACTTTGAAATTTTGTAATTTAAAAGCAGATATACCTGTATTGGCTTGACCCACCCCGGGACACCAGGTACTGCGCATAATAGAAATAGGTCGTAAAATATGACCCACAAAAAGTGTTTGATTCACGCTAAAATTTTAATAGCGTCTTAATTAAATATAAAAAAAATTAATTCCAAAAAGGCAGACACTTTTTCCGGGGTTTAATTGCCGGCCAACATAAAAATAAGTCTTATCGCTGATCACCCTACAGCTGTATCGGCCGTTCATACAAGGGAAGTGCAACCAACTTGAGACAAAATAAAATTGACACTAATGACATAAGAAATCGGGTCACTAAAGAGGCTGTTTTTTAGTTTGCTTTATGGTATTTTCTATCTACTTTCATGCCATTTGCATACCTTGTTGTACCCGTAACGTAAAAAAGGTTATTTTACATTTAAAGGTTGAAACATTTTGTTATCGTCAGCTGTCAATTATGTTGTTGGTAGAACACAGGCGTAACCATAGATGGGCATAATGTAACTAGTATTGTATGTTGGTTGTATATTGTATAGAACTTGTATTCGTAGCAGCAGCATTTTGCAATCGACATAAATAAATAAAACCAAATGAAAAAAAAAAAAGTTTCATAAAGCGGGAGAAACACAAATAGACTATTAACAACAAAAAATAAAATGCACTGCTACGTCTATGTTTTGATATTATCCACAGCTGATAGTGACAAATGTTTTCAACCTTTAAATGTAAAATACCCTAAAATAAAAAATCTTTTTTACATTACGGGTACAACATGGTATCTAAACGACATAAAAGTAGATAAGAAAAATTAAAAATTTAACAAAAAAACAGCCTCTTTATGTGACCCAATTTCTTATGTCATTAGTGTCATTTTTATTTTGTCAAGTTGGTTGCACTTCCTTTGTATGAACGGCCGATACAGCTGTAGGGTGATCAACGATAAGACTTATTTTTATGTTGGCCGGCAATTAAACCCCGGAAAAAGTGTCTGCCTTTTTGGAATTAATTTTTTTTATATTTAATTAAGACGCTATTAAAATTTGAGCGTGAATCAAACACTTTTTTGGGTCATATTTTACGACCCCTTTCTATTATGCGCAGTACTTGGTGTCCCGGGGTGGGTCAAGCCAACACAGGTATATTTGCTTTTACATCCAAATGATTTCAAATTAAAAAATTTCAAAGTGCATCAAACACTTAATGAAATGTATGTCACTGGCTCTTGGACTATACCGGGAAAAAGTAATAGTACAACTTGGGGAGCTAATAAAAAGGCCTTCTAGTAGTTTGTACATGCGCTTTATGGGGTTGACGAGTCGTCTCTGGTTGGAAACTAATAAATTTTTTTTATTAGCATGGCTCCCACCGACAATTCAGCCTGGAGCAGCCCTTGCATTACAGATGCGCTAGTAGTGGTTTTCTTTTTTCCCCAAACTAGTTAAGTAACCAACTCTTTTTTGGTCTTTTCAGCTTTAGCGTAGATTTCTCAAGAACGTTTTGCTCCTGTAATTCCATTTTCATCAACATTAAAATAATTGCTAAAAAATACTTGTCCAGTAGTGTGTTCAGGATGACAAAAAAAATTTAAATCCTTCCTTATTGAAAGCCATCACTCGATTTAAGCTGGTTAAGAAACTTGAGATAGGAATCACCACGACGCCGACGGCCGGCATTTTTCCAGTTATTCTAATAATTTTAAAATCTTCGAGAAGATATACTTTTTGACCCATTCAACTTTTTTTTGTGATGTATTTCGTTGGTTTACAGGTAAAAAGAAAAAAAAGAAAGGCAAGAAAAAGAAGAAGAAAGAACCAAAGAAAGCAGATTCACAAATTGCTAGAGAACTTGAAGAAGCAGCCAGACTTTTAGATGAAGAGAAACAAAAAGACAAAGAAGCCTACTTATGGATAGCTTACTTGAAAGAAATCGATGACCTTTTAAGAAATGCAATTGTGGGTAAGATTAACAGTAATATTTTCGTAACATTTTCCATTTTTTAATAATACTTAACTTTACATAGTTTAGAACGGAAAATTACGTGTTTCTTTTATTTATAAACGGGATACTTGATACCAATTTTTACAAATTATTATACATTTAAATTGATGATAAAAAATCGATCGCTATGTAAGCACTAGTGCCAGTGTAGATCAAACTGAGCTCAATGGGATTCCCATAGCAGCAACAAACATAACCAGAAACAATATCACTTGGAGAAATATGTTTATTTATAAGCAAACAAGCACTACTCACACTCGGCATTCCATGAATTTACTCAGGGTCAGGGCATCCGAGAGCCGCGACAAAAAATACGCGTGGCACTCGGGGACTGCCGCGGTAAAGCTATTGCATAGCATTTTTTTATCAACTTACACAATTATATTTATTTATTTTATTTATGCAGTATTTTTTTCTTTGATATTAGTTCAAGTTTTTTCTTTGATATTAATTCAAGTTAAATTTTTTGATCGTGGTGACCGATAAGAAAACAATTTTTTTTCTTTTATTGAATAAATGAGAAGTTAATTTTGTTTAAAATATATTTATTATCTTACAATACATGTAGGTTATTCAGGAATTTTTATCATTGAAACTATAGGTTTATGGTAACTGAAATAAGAAACATAAGTTTGAGACTTGATATCCTCTCAATATCTGGAAAATACCGCGTCAATGGTGGTCCCATATTTTGTTGTGGATTCTTGTGGATCATTATTCATTTTTAAATAAAATTTTTCCGAAATTGTGTCTAAAAGAGATAGAATCAGTTATGAGCAGTTAGCAGCTAGTCTACACGCATACGTCTAGTCGCACGCACACAAACACCGTGCCGAAGTCTGCCGAATTGATACGACGTTAGACGATGCATGGCTTTCAACGCCGCACCGCTGTGCCGGTCGGAGTAGGGGGTGTTAGGTTTATTTTCGTTACGGAATTTCTTTTTCGATTTTTCGATTTTTCAATTTTTCAATTTTTCAATTTTTTGATTTTTTGATTTTTTGATTTTTTGATTTTTTGATTTTTTGATTTTTTGATTTTTTGATTTTTTGATTTTTTGATTTTTTGATTTTTTGATTTTTTGATTTTTGATTTTTCGATTTTTTCGATTTTTCGATTTTTCAATATTTCGATTTTTCGATTTAGGGTTAGGTTTATTTTCGTTAAGGAATTTCTTGATTCGGTCGCCGCGCTCAAAGCCCGCGATAAAATCTGCAATAGCTTAATAATGAAATAGTTAACACTGAAAAAATAAAAATTAATATTTTTTCTACACCCGTATTATAATAATGCACTTATATGCCCATAATCGTTTTATAAAGATACCCCATTATGATTTTTCATTACGATACAGATTTTTAATCAATAGAAACCTATAATTTTTCAATCAAGCATGCTGTTTGACGTTTGTCCTAGGTTCCTATGTAATTGTTTTAGTTGTCAAAACGTATTAAATTTTCGTAGATAGCTAAACTTCGATAATTATAATATTAAAATGTCTAATATCAGCGATATAGAAGACTCCTCCACACATATCGGAGAAAGCAGAAAATAGAGTACAAAATATTTTGCCGCAAAAATCTAGGGAAATACCAATACCCGAAGTAATACCATTAATTACAATTTTGTAGAATTTTTTATAGAAATACCAATATAAATATAATATTTATAGGTCTTGATTATTTATCGGGTGTAGAAAAAATAGCGTATGCAACTCTCATGTAATGGTTATTAAAACACTCGCATAAACCATACGAAACTCGCCTTTGGCTCGTTTCGTATCCCGGTTAATACTCGAGTATTAATAACCATCATTACATGATCGTTGCATAATATACTATTATAAATCTTGCAAAAAAATTAATATCTAATATTTACGCCAGCCGGGAACATTTGTGATACCAATTTATTAGAAGCCAGAGAAAGCTCTTCTAGTTCTTGTACTGCATAAACGTTCCAGTCCGCAGATGTATGTTTAACTCCGCTTCATACTAATACGAATAGGGTCGGATAAAATCTTCCACGGCTTTCAAAACGCCTCACCGCTGTACCGGTCGGAGTGGGGAGTGTTAGGTTTATTTTCGTTACGGAATTACGGAATTTCTTGTTTCGGTTGCCTACGCTCAAAGCCCGCGATAAAAGCTATTCAATAGCTTAAAAATTAAACCCTTTTGATATCACATTTCTAAAAAAAGGTCCTCAAGCAAAAACTTGGATCCTTTTTAGTGAAATCTCTAAAGAAAAAGGTCCTCATCTTGTATTTTACATAAACCAGTGCTACTCGCTTTTGTGGTGAACTTATAAAAAAATAAAACGTCTTAACCTAAAGCTACCGGGCCCCCCGTGTGCCGCTGCTAGGCCCCCACTTGTGTCCGGGCCCCGGAAATTTGTCCCGCCAGCCCCCTTTCGTCGGCCCTACTCAGGATAAATTTAATACTACCTTTGGTTGAAGTGGATTAAACGCCACGCCACATTGAAAAAGGTAGCCGTCTTCTTGGACCTTCATTGGACTAACAATATCAGTCGTTACAAACTTAATCAATGAAAATTTCCTTGTGAAATTCCAGGAAGTGTGGGATGAAACAAGAAGCTGTAGAGTTGCTAGGTAGTTCTTAAGTTACCCCAACAACACTACAGCAAACAAACTTATTTGTATTCGGTGAGTATTGTTTAACATCGGCCAATATAAGGGAGGCAACTCTTGGCGACGTTGTCATCTGCATTAAATCTGTAGGCTGTAGGATGCACAATAAAGACTAGTAAAATTTTCCCACAGAAGCGCTCCCTTTCTGGAGTACTTACCAACTCTAATTAGTTATAATATAGTTAATTTTTGTCGGTTACTTTTTATCATCCTGTAGTATTTGTTTAGAATAGGAATTACAGATTAACATTAATTCATAATTTCATTGCTCACGAAAATACTGTTACGCTGGTTTTTGGTAACTCAATTTATTTTAACTCCACTTTTAAAATTCACCTCGAAAATTTATAATTCATTCTGAGCCTTTATTTTTAGTCTGATTTTTGTGAAATTTTCAGGAAATACCAATAATAACAAAACTTAGGGTACAAAAAAGTATTTTCATCTTCTACAGGGTAAGAACTAACGATACATATTTATAATTTAACCTTCTGCGAATGTGTACTCTAAAAGTTTCACTTGCTCCCTACTATATAGAAGAGATCAGTTGTACGATGACATGGGGTAATAGTCGTAGCCAACCCAACAGTTGTAAGACGAGGATAAGACATAGATAGCAGAAAGTGTTACTAGATTCAAAAGTCCCGCGCTTTTTCCTCGCATGAGTAATGCGAAATTGTCGACTAATGGGAAAGGTCAATTAGATCACCAGATCATCTGGTGTCTAGTGTTATATTCGTTGATATCGCTTCAATATAAAGAACGTTTCTCAAAACCAGCTGATTAGCTTGAGCAACACTATAATACTAGAACAATGTATGCAAAAAGATAAATGTTACAGATACCAGTAAAAGTATGGAATAATGTTAGGGTGACTCGTGTAATAATACAGAGGAAAAAATCTGATGTGTCCAACACATGACTTTCCTATCTAGTTATTATAGGCTTTTTCCGGTTATTTTGTACAACCTATTGCAGCATCTCTATAAATGTTTAGAGGATAAACTAAATATATACATTGTCCACATACATCTACCTCGAAACATTTTTTTATAGATATTCATGGTAAACGAAAATACTGAAAAATTTAAATTTCCCACAATTTTTTCATTATGGTCCATTTTAAAAAAATCATGTATAAACAAAAATTATAGAGATCGATATCGCAAACAACTTTTATTTCAAAAACTTTCATAAAAATCAGAATTTTGCACATTTTGTCAAATTTCTCGAATACGGACCATTTCAGGAAATGTTTACATAAAACAAAAATCTGATGTGTCCAACACATGACTTTCCTATCTAGTTATTATAGGCATTTTCCGGTTATTTTGTACAACCTATTGCAGCATCTCTATAAATGTTTAGAGGATAAACTAAATATATACATTTTACACATACATCTACCTCGAAACATTTTTCTATAGATATTCATTGAAAACGAAAATACAGAAAAATTTAAATTTAGCACTTTTCCATTACGGACCATTTTAGAAAAATCATGTATAAACAAAAATTATAGAAATCGATATCGCAAACAACTTTTAGTTCAACAATTTTCATAAAAATCAGAATTTTGCACATTTTGTCAAATTTCTCGAATACGGACCATTTCAGGAAATTTTGACATAAAACAAAAATTATAGATAATAATATTAGAAGTAACTTTTATTTGAACAATTTTCTTCTCCAAACATAAATAACAGATATATTCCATAAAATATAAAAACGGCCTCCCATAAAGTACCCCCCCAGATGTTCCAACTTTGTCCAAAATCTAATCATTTCACGTCAGGCCGAAATAAACCTTAAGTTTAAAATTTAATGTTTTTTCCTTTATCCGTTTTTGAGTTTTCTTCAAATTTCGAAATTTACACATTTTCTCAAATATCTCGAATACGGTCCATTTTAGAGAAATTATGTATAGGACAAAAATTATAGAGAATTATGATATAAACAACTTTTATTTGAACAATTTTTATAAAAAATTATGTTTTTTACATTTTGTCAAATTTCTCGAATACGGACCATTTTAGGAAAATTTTGCATAAAACAAAAATTATAGATAATTAAATTAGAAGTAACTTTTATTTGAAGAATTTTCTTCTCCAAACGTAAATAACAGATATATTCCATAAAATATAAAAATGACCACCTATAAAGTACCCCCCCAGATGTTCCGACACTGCCCAAAATCTAATCAGCTCATTAGCTCATTGGACGCTGAAACAAAGCTTAAGTTTAAAATTTGGTGTTTTTCTGTGTATCGGTTCATGAGTTATGCGTTATACAGACACACACACACACACACACA